TGGACCAATGATCATAATTCACATTGATTGCTCCAGAGGACTTCGAGACCATCATTCTTTCAATACATTTAAATTTAGAACCGGATCTTTTTTTTGAAAATAATATTAAGTCTTTAAATTTATTCAATATTTTATATTTTATGATTCCAACAAAAATAAATTCATTTTAAATGATTATCAGACTTCATTACCAATTTATTTATGATTATTACTAGCATACGCTAATATTGCAATTAATATTGTAATTAATATTGTAATTGTAACCAATATACATAAGATATTTAAGCGATTGATTAATGTTTAAATATACATTGAATATACATATTATATTGAGTAAATGATTATATAATTTGAATATATGTAGTAAGTCCTGTAACGAGAAGATTTTGTTCAGGAATAGTGTCAAAAATTTTTTTTCAGTTTCTGTGCATCAACAAAAGCAAACAATAAAATTCATTTTGTCATTGAGATTTGTTTGGAATCTCATCTTATTCACATGTGTATCATATCTTGTACAAAGGAAATACATCACATATATCCGAATGGAACGACCAATCAGAATACGACAGCACTGCGTGACTACCCTAACTTATTGCGAAAGCCACGTCTTCGATAGGCAGTGTCTTCAGGAGAAAGACTGCGACGCGAATTCGGTTTAGAAAAAAGTACTGTTATTGCGATGTTACTCAAATATTTTACCTTTTTGTTCTTGATCTCAACTATCGTCTTAGCTGAAGAGAAAGATGTGGTGGAGCTTACCGACGATAATTTTAGGCACGAATTAGATCAGCTTGAAAACACGCTTATTATGTTTTACGCACCATGGTAAGATATTTCTTTGTGATAATAATGTATTTTCAAAGTTCGAAATGCAGTTTCATTTTTTTGTTACTCTATCGTATCTATTGTAATTACAAGAGAATTGATTAAAAAGAACTGTTTCTCAAGTTCCGGTTGCGACAATATACCGGCTTGTGACACGTTAATAGCGTATGATCCATTTAAAATTTTTATTCTTGTTTTTACCTTTAAAAAGGCCGTCGTTGTTCTTTATTTTCATGCTAATTTTTAGAATATAAAAATAACTTGATTTTAAATTAGGATAAACTTAAGAAACTTTTTTATCTATGTATCTCGAATATTCAGGTGTGGTCATTGCAAACGATTGAAACCAGAATATGCAAAAGCTGCTGAAATACTGTTGGGTAATGATCCTCCAATTACTCTTGCCAAAGTAGATTGTACAGAAACTGGAAAGGATACTTGCAACAAATACTCAGTCAATGGTTATCCAACATTGAAAATCTTTTCCAGAGGTGATTTTGTTAGTGATTACAATGGACCTCGAGAAGCTGCTGGTATTGCTAAATATATGAAGGTAATTAGGATTTTGATAACGTAGAAGTTATTTAATGATTTCACATATTTAACTTCAATATATTTTAGGCGCAAGTTGGTCCAGCATCTAAAGAATTACAAGGAGAAAGTTGTTTGAAATCATTCTTAGACACCGATGAAGTAAGTGTTGTAGGTTTCTTTGAAAAGGAGGATTCACCTTTAGCAACATCTTATCATGCTGTTTCTAAGAAACTTAAAGAAAAAATAAGATTTGCACATACAACAGCGAAATTGCTCTTGGAGAAGGAAGGACATAAGTAATTTATTTATACATTGTCAAAAATTTATTTTAAGACTAAAATTACGAATGTAATTTTTTATTTTTAGGAATGTCATTGTTTTATATAGACCAAAAATTCTACAAAATAAGTTTGAACCAAACACGGTGAAATACGATGAATCTATGGGTGATATTCAAGAATTCATTAATAAAAATTAGTAAGTTTTATGAATATTCGTTTCACTAATATAGCATTTAAAAGTACTTTTTTTTTAACTGAATATGTATTTTAGTTTTGGTATTGCGGGCGTTCGTACACGGGATAACGCAGCAGAATTTAAAAATCCATTAGTTGTTGCATACTATGCAGTGGATTATGTCAAAAATTCCAAGGGTACAAATTACTGGCGTAATAGAATTATTAAAGTTGCTAAAGACTTCCCTAACTTAAATTTTGCTATTTCTTCCAAAGACGACTTCCAACATGAATTAAATGATTTTGGAATTGATTTTGTCAAGGGTGATAAACCTGTAATTTTAGCAAGAAACAGTAACAATCAAAAATTCGTTATGAAGGACGAATTTTCTGTTGCTAAATTTGAAGGATTCTTAAAAGATCTGGAAGCTGATGCTTTAGAACCATATCTGAAATCTGAACCAATCCCCGAAGATAACACTGGAAATGTCAAAGTTGCAGTAGCCCGAAACTTCGATGAAGTTGTTACAAACAATGACAAGGATACGTTAATTGAGTTTTATGCTCCTTGGTGTGGCCATTGCAAAAAATTAGCACCTATTTACGATGAATTAGGTGAAAAACTTGCGAACGAAGATGTTGAAATTGTAAAGTTCGATGCTACCGCTAATGATGTTCCTGTTCCATACGAAGTTCGAGGATTCCCAACACTTTATTGGGTAGCCAAAAATTCCAAGAATAGTCCAGTAAAATATGAAGGTGGCAGAGAACTTGATGATTTCATCAAATACATTGCTAAACACGCGACCAATGAGTTAAAAGGATTTGATCGCAAGGGAAAGACTGTTAAGCCGAAAAGTGATGAATTGTAAATTTTTTCACATTGAAATATGGAGTTGTTTATTACAGTTTTTATATATCTCTCAGCAGCAGAATCTGAAGTGAAATTTTTCTTGTGCGACTCATAAGTGTGACAAAAGTGGCATGTAATTGAAAACAGATAGATGTGAATGAAAGAAATTAAAGACCTTTGGTAACATGACTGCATTTATTTTACAAAGTATTTGAAGAATAAAGTGAAAAAGTATAATTAGAATAGGATTGTCTGTGTGTATTATGTAACTTTATAATGTTGTATATCATGTAAAACTATGCAGAACTGATTTAGAACTATGATGTTAATATTTTCCAGATTTAGCAAATTATGTTCAAGATTCAAGTTTCCATTCCATTTTCCATATCTGACTATATGAAGTTAAAATTAATACATTATTTTTTTATTTATATCAAAAGTAAAATAAATCGTTTTTTATACAATTTTGTGCATCGAGCAATTCTATTTTTGTTCTCTCGTTTAAAAAAGCTTCCTAATATGTGATTTCTAAGAAATATTTCTAAGAAATATTTTAAAATAAAAGAAAGATTTTGTTCAATAAAATTTGTAAATGAAAATTCATATATGATATATTTTATGTGTTTATCAATCCTTATAGATCCCTTGTAAATTCTAGGAAATTTCTCATTGCTTGAATATTTGTGTTTGAATGTACGAATTAAACTATTTCAGAAGTAATAGTTCAAAAACATTGATTAGTAATTTTTATTGTTAATTACAATTTATTATAGTAATCATGGAGTAAATATCTTATATTAAGGCTAATTAACTATAGAGCGATCTCTTTAAACTCAAAAAACTTATCCTGATTTCATTTTTTCTAATCGTAAAAAATTTTTTTTCTTTAATTATATTGAAAAAGTGCTACATAGAGATGATTGAATTTCTTCTTGGAAGTATCTTCAATTCGCTACTAACACGACGAATTACAATGTCGTAAAACTATTTATAAAGAATTATGGAGATGTACAAAACAGTATTTTTTTTTCGTATATGTCTTAAGTATACAAGTACTTATGTCCTTTTGATCCTTAGAGTGATAGATTTATCGATAAATAAGTTTATATATATAGATATATATAAACCTATAGATAAATAGATTTATATATATATATATTTTTTTTTTTTCTTGTAAGAAAATGAGATAAAGCGATTCGTATTTCTATTGTTATTTCATATCATGAAATAGACAGAGAAATGCTTAAAAAAAATCACGGGACATTCATGAAGGTATATCTTATCTATTTCAAGAATGATGACATTTTATGTACAATTTTAATCCTATATGGACCAAATATGTGAAGCAACAAAATAGCTTGTTTATCGCTTTTTTTACGGAGATAATAATGAATCTAATAGATACTGTGATGTATTTTAATCCTTGTCAAACATAGAAATTCAAATTTTTGAATCTTATCTCACAACTTTGTGCACGTAACAATATTTAACTTTTTTTTATTAAAAAGATTATGAGTTTATTCATTTTTTTTTCTTTCTTATTTCATTAAAGCATATTACCGAAAACTCAGTCTTAATAATGTTTGTACAATAATATTTGAAAGCCATTCTATTCTGATAAGGACCAAAACGATAAGTAACTTCTAAGATAACAGTTAATATATTGATATATGTCGCAACTCATAGAATATCTTTATAAAAACTGCAGCAATGTTTGTACAAATTCTTAGTAATTTATTTCATTTAAAACACGATCGCAGTTATTGCAACATTAGAGAGAGTCCATAAAGGATTAACTGATACAATCATAATTAACAGTACATTCTTCGCAAATTATTATAAAAGAACACTTGCAAACTTTGCAACGGATTTTAATTTGCATATATTGTATATATTGTGGGCGTATTTTGTGGTTGTTTTTCTTTTTTTTATAGATTTGTTTCATTGTGTAAAATAATTAAAGATAAGTTGTTGTTGTTATATTATAGTTTCCGCTGAGGGCCTCTGGCATAACAACTAGCTTCATTGCAACTAGCAATTCCATTAGTCTTGTCTCAACAGTTTCATAAATTATAAGAGCCAACATCTTCCTTTCTTCTTTTTCTTTACCTACGAACTCATATAATTTTTATAATAACGTCTGTATAGTTTATATTTAATTTCAAAAAAACCCTGTAATGAACAGTGCTTACTTGTAACGCTGCCCGAGTGGCCGTTTCAAATACTTCCCTAATACCTTCCTTACTCTTAGCAGAACATTCAAGATAAGCGAAAGCATTGATTTTTTCAGCCATAGCTCTACCTTCTTCTGGTTTAACTGGTTCCTGTTTCATTTTGCTAAGCTCTTTGATGGTATTAGGATCATTGCGCAAGTCTTTTTTATTTCCAACAAGAATGATGGGCACATTTGGGCAAAAGTGTTTCACTTCTGGTGTCCACTTCTCAGGAATATTCTCCAAGGAGTCGGGACTATCGATAGAGAAACACATTAGGATTACATCTGTATCAGGATATGACAATGGACGCAACCTATCATAATCTTCTTGTCCAGCTGTGTCCCAAAGAGCCAATTCAACCTGTTATACAAAATGTTTTTTTAGTACATTTAGAAGAAAAATATAAATGTTTTAAATATATGAAACAATTTCTTCTACTTACCTGTTTTCCATCAACTTCAATATCTGCAACATAGTTTTCAAACACTGTAGGTACATAAACTTCAGGAAACTGATCTTTACTGAAGACTATGAGTAAGCATGTTTTACCACAAGCACCATCACCCACGATAACTAATTTCTTCCTAATGGCTGCCATGAATTCTAAAATGTAAATCATTAAATATTTTTTTATTAGTACCCTAATTGAATTTATATTAATTCTATATTAAAATCCTAACTTTATGCGATATTAATTTTTTCAAAATATATCTATTAATGCAGAAACAAGAAACATAAAATCATCTCATAACTACTAAATACATAATTGACTAATAAATTTTTATATATATAATTAAAAAATATTTAATATTTTTATCATCATATTTAATAATATTGTTATAAGTAAATACATGTGGTTTTGAGATTTTTCCAATAACTTACCTATACACAAATATAATTATCATTTTACGCAATATATTTGTCCAAATAAGTGTCTATTTAATTTTAATAATCTCTTTTTGTTAATAATGATTAATATGTACAAAACATATGCGCTTGACACATATCAGAATAAAACAATAAGGATGTACATCTAATTTCTATTACTTTTATTCTATATATACATACACATACAAATATGTATGTATATAGGTACATCTAATAAGAAATCTATCAATTGCACACACTATTGTGTAAATCATATTCTATATATCAGCAAACTCTAATTGCATTTGTATACAATATAGAAGCAAGGAATATTTTAAAGACTACTTAAATACTAGTGATAATAGATCTAAATCAATTAAATTAACATCTTGGAAACACCAGCTAAAATTAGTTTAACTAAGGACATGCAATGAGTGAACACATAATACACATAAGATAAGATAATAACTTAATGGAAAAGATGTTGAATATTGAAAAGATGTAATCAATATCAATCAGAAACTGCTTTCCCTGCACCTTGATAAGGCATAAATAAATAAAAAGCAATTTTAAATACATAAATCCAAGTGTGAATAGACATAAAGGAAATAGTAAGAAAGATTGAAAAAAAGCATTCTTCAGGATAGAGTTAGGAAGAAGTCTGGGGTAATTTTTTGTAACTGTTCAATTAGATTCATTTTCTGACAATGCTATAAATAATGACTTGAATTCAAACCTCGTAGGGTATGTAACTTGTTACCTGAAAATATTGTATCTATTTATATTTAAACAAAGTACTAAATTAGTACTAGCATTACAAATATAGTAGCCTACAGCCCTCCATTTATTTAAGTTTATATTGCTAAAAATTGCCTCTAACTTCATCTGCTACTTATATATTGGATATGATAGGTAACATTTTCTTGTGTCTATATTTCATGTCTACTTTAATACTATATAGAAAGCAACCTACGAGGGCTGAAAATTGAAAGGATATTGATTGGGTCGTACCTGATCCAGGGTACCCTGTATCGTCTGGACCGAGGCATCGGCCCGTATTGCATCCCATGTTTTTAGTCTTTCTTTCAGCGTCTCTGCTTTAAGTGGACATTTTATATGTTAGAATGGATAAAAGGTTATGAAATACTACACAGATGTCATATAAATAATATCATATATATGTAAATATTTACGGATGTTTTGTTTTTGAAATTATATATTTAAATGTCTATGAAAGTATTAAATTTGTGATCACTGAACGACCTTTATAATTTTGGTTCATAACTCTTTCCTTCTGATACATATATATTATATGAAAATATGTACACTACAAGGCTTTGCAAGAATACCAAAAACTAAATATAATGTGAATTTGATGTTATCATAATGACTTCATATACACATTTAGATCAAAGATTAAAGAATTCTGAAATGCATAAGGTAAAGCTTTAATTAAGATCTGTGTGAGAGAAAAAGGATATACTGTATAAATAAATCAACTTCTTAATCCATATACAAAAAGTTTTTGTATATTATTATATCACATGTAAGATAATACCTTATGCCTTACAAAAAAAAGTAATGATGTCTTAGAAGAACATGCATAAACACATTAAAATCGATATTTTTTTGTATTAAACATGCACTATTAAGAAATATGTGTACCCATAAAAAAATTATTTTTAAGAAGCATAAATCAAATTAATAGGCAACACATTCACATTGTACAGAGATAAGATGCTTTGTAATATTTTAATAGGACAACTTATAATCATTTACTATTTAGTCAAAGGCAATGACAAATAAGTATGTATATATTTAAGGAATATGTATGTTGTGATATACAAACATGAGTGTTAAAACTTTTTAATATAGAATCTTGTTAAAAATTTTTATTGTAACACAAATATTCTTCTGTTTGTGTTATAGGTCACGTTTGTTAATATAACAAAGGAAGATTCAAATTGAAAAGTTTTTACATAGAGAAAAAAGCAAGGATTTTAGCATTAGACAGTCTAGTAGATAGCAAAAGCAATGCGAATAAAGATTATATATATATTTTAAGGCAACAATTTATATAAACCTTCGAAGACTGCATCTTGTTTGATGCATTGCGAAAATCTCACTTTAGTATTTATCAGAGATTAAATTATTTGACTCGTATTAAATTGAATGAATGTCATACTACGACTTGTTAAAAATTTCTGTCTATCATGCGTATAAGATACTTGGAACGAAAATTATATGTATTCATATGTTGTAAGCATATAGAGGTCGATCGTTAACCGAAAATCGGCGTACATTTGTCTCGTGTTTTTATTAGCATACGCAAATTCCGATGAAATCATCGCAAACGTATAAAACGTTTGAGAGAACAGAACAAGGGGAGACGCGGACCTCATAGAAACGCGTATGATTTCTAACGTATCAATAAACGTACCCGATTTTTTGTTTATCGCAGCTCTGACAGGGTAAACGACGACGAATGAACGTCAAAGACGAAGCCGTGACACAGATCTCTAATTACTAGGTCTCCAGACACGGATTCCAGGGAGCTTTTTGCCAAATTTCGCACAGCCGGAAGTGCACGGCCGAAACCGGGAAATAGGGAAGGGGATATGGAGTAAGGAGATCTAAGTCTGAGAGGGGAGGATGGGTGCGCTGGGGGTGCGACAGGACAGAGACGCAGGGGTCTAAAAGCCCAGGGAAGGAGAGAGGGGGGGGATGATTTACATACTCAAAGCCGAGGTCGGTATTTGAACTGGTAGAAACGATCCCAGATCAGTGATCGAATGTGGTCACAGTGGACAGCGTGTAACTTCTCATATGCTGAACCAAAGGATCGTCATGCGAAGATGCTGCGGATTCGTAACGCATGGCACTCCCTCGGCCCTCTCTATCACAGGAGGAGGAGAACGGTTTTTCTCTTTTCTTTTCTTTCTTTTTTTTCCCTCCTCGATACACAACGAAATTCCCCGGTCGCGCCAGTTAACAAAACGATATGTAGCACGCTCAAACCACCCGGACGCACATCACAGCACACTCTCATACCACTCCAACCAGTATTACTTAAGAAATAATTGCGTATTTACCTGAAATGTTAAGCGACAGAAAGTCAAGAAGATGGCAGCCCTCGATGGCCACACCTCAATCTGTAGTGTGCGGCGATCGGCAGCGAGGGGAGGGGAGGGCAAGCATTATACCCAGGATCGTATCGTTACTTTCGAAGGCCCTTTTCCTAGGAACTTGCGGAACGCTCTCTCAGATTTTCAACGTGATACATACATATTTCGCAAGCATGAACTTCCTTTTTGCTCTATTCGTTTTTCGTGAACGTTGTTACGATGTTTATTGAACAACATATGTAATGTTCAATTTCTGTGGCAGAAAAGTTCCGAACAATCAAGATCGAATTACAAATTACAAATCACGAATTAAATTATATATAATTAAATTAAATTATATCACGAATATATTAGTCTTTATTAATTACGCCGTGTATTTATAATAATAATTATTGCAACAGCGATTCTTACGTATTAAATAGTTTCATTTATGATAGTATAATGATATCAGGTCTGTAATAATATAAGCGTGTATCAAAAAATTTAATTACTGTTGTTATAAATTTAAATAAAACCGTATTTCATATCCAATCTATGTATGGACGTGCAAATGTTTAATCCATGCATCATTTAGTGATACTTTCCTGGACAATGCTACGAAACCAACGAATCATATGCCACCGCGCATATCAGGAACCGTGGAGGTGGAGGAACTTTGCGCACGCATCATGTTTCACGGATGTATTTGTAGGTAAATGACGGGAAGGGTTGGAAAATATGTAAATAATGCTGCATCGCAGCTTCGTCATCCAGCGCCCCTGGTATGTAACACGTGAAAATCATGACATTAATTTTATAACCATGAAACGAGTGCTGTAAGAAAGTAACGTTAATTGTTGTTTTCAATTTTCGTTATAATCATTGTTTTTTTTATAATATAAATATTATCTTTTATTAAAAAAAATTAATAAATGTAATAGATTATACGTATAATTCACGTAACAGATACAACGTTATGTACTTTTGCGTTTTCGTAGATTGGTACTGTATGTCATAAAGATTTCGCACGAACAATGTGAATGCGCCTAAAAAAATCAAACTGTCGGTACAAGAAAAGAAAGAAAAGAAAATAATGCTTTAGTAAAAAATTTAACGTTATTTTATTTTTATTACTGCCGTTATTTTACGCCTATTTTTCAAATAATTCAACAGTTTCAAAAAAAAATTTCGGATGCATTCAACTTGCATTATAATGAAAAACCGGGGTGTGACTACACTGATCGATCGTGATATTTATCCGTGAAAACGAATAATGTATGAATATATGATTATCCGTAAATATGAATTTACAGATAAATGTAAATACAAGAATAAATTAGAGAATGGAATCTAATAATTGTCGTGTATGTATGAATTGAATAAAAATGATGTTGCTATTGTATGATGCATGTAGAAATGACATGTATATTCTATTAATTCGAAAAAACGTATCAAAGGACAATCAAATAGGGGATTTGTGTAAATACGATGCATAGTTATTAGGCTAAAAATGTATCTTTTTATTTCATAATAATTATTCTATTCCTATTCTACATTATATGTGATATCAATTGCGAAATGATTAAAGAAGTGATATATATTGAAAATATTTAATAACATGATTTGTTATATATTTAGAATGCTTTTAATTATGTACATTTTTTTATTATAAAGACAGTTAACATTATAGTTTTTTAAAAATGTTTTAGGTTTTTAAATATTTTCATAACCAATTTAAAATATAATTACCATAAGAAAGTAAAAAATATAATTTCTTCTTAATTTTCGATATGTACCAATTTGTCAAGTAAAAATTATTTTTACAAGAATGTGTTTTACTATGTATACAAATAGATTTAAAGCAATATTACAAGACATAAAAAAACAACATAATAGTTCGAATATCTATTTCATTCACAAAATATTTACTATATTTCGACGTTTATTTAATCTTCACATATCAAACATTATCAGCACACATCCAAAAGACAAATTATTCTGTTTAATAATCAAGTCATAAGAAAATTTGCATATATATATATATATGTGTGTGTGTGTGTGGTGTGTATATATGTATATATATACATATATATGTATATGAATATTATTTTACGATAGAGATAATATAAGTTAATCTCATAATTTTTCACACTTTCATATTAAAAAATGATACACATTGTTCTGTACTTATGTATGTGTTCCAATTCAATTTAATTATTTCCATTTTGTGTAATATTTTTAAAATATATCATAATCACAGTTGTTTTAATTTTGTTGTGGTGGATCTGGATCATTTGGATTCCCTCCCATTTGTCGTCTTAAAGATTCAATTAACTCGGGATTCGCGTTTTGTAATTGTCGCGCAAATTGTTGACCACTACAAAATTTTTAAATATGATATATTTTTTTATGATACATTAGGCAATAAATGATTGAAAAACATGATTGATACTTACGCCTCTATAAGAGCATCCATATGTCCTCCTTGTTCTACCTGTCCAGTCATGAAATTGCTCACCATGTTTTGAAGTGCTGGATTAGATAACATTTGACGAGCCATGTTCATAAGAGCAGGATTACTCAAAAGTGAACTAAGATCCATGCCTGGCAATGTACCTCCACTTAATCCCGTATTGTTCATGTTCGACTGAGATAATTTTTCTTCTGCTAGTTGTAAATTATTTTTGTAACTTTCATTGTCAGGTTCCATCTCCAAAGCTTTCTGGTAACTCTCTTTAGCTTCTTTATGTTTTTGAAGATGAGAATACGCTAAACCTAATCGTCCATATGCTTTACTATATGAAGGATCAATGGACAAAGCAGTATGACAATCTTTAATGGCTTGCTGGTAATTGCCAATTTTATTATATGCTGCAGCACGATTACAATAATACACTGCGTTACAACCATCTAACTGAATTGCTCTAAATGGACAACATCATACCATTATACAAAACAATATTCTCTTGTTTATGGAACTTACTTTTGTTGAAACACAAAATACATACTTTGTATAATTAGCAAGAGCTTCATGATGCTTCTCAGCTTTCATAAGAGTATTTCCTTCATTTTTCAATCTTTCAGCTTCAGCTTTTGCTTCTGGAGTGGCTTCAGGAGTTAAATTGGGCTTTGCATTTTCAACGGAAGACTTATATATTTCATATAAGTTAATATTTGTTGGATTATCAGACGCTTGTATATTATAAGCACTCTCTAAACACTGTATTGCTACTTCGAGACTTTCTCGAGAATCTGCTGTGATATCACCTTCATCTAATTGTTGGGTTAAGAATTGAACAATTGCTGTTACCAGCCCTTTGACAGCCATTACTGCCTTATAGGAACTGCTCTGTTTGAAATGAAAAAATTGTAGAATAATTACATGCGACACTGTAACAACGCATAAGCTTAAGCTATTTAATATCGTTTAATAATGGAAGATTTTTGATACGTGTCATAACCTTAAAATAATTTACTGATCAAAAGAACGAAACGATATAATTAAAAAAAAAGACTTAATTATTAGTTTAATAAGATCGATTGTTATAAGGACAATATTATTAGCATTGTGATGATGAATTGTTAAATGTTTTATTATGCTAAATCATGATAAATTGACATAACCAAAAAAAACATGCCGGATGAAAAAAGACGCAATTATATTTCGCCAATTGTACTTCGATCTTTCTAAATGAAATAAGAAATCTCCACCTACTTATTCAGTTATATTAAATAAATTAAACTACATACGCTTATATATAAAATTGTGAATTGTTTGCAGCTAATTAGGGACGAACAAAGTTACCCAACTACGGTGAAATGTATCTTGACAGTTTCATTTTAACTCATTAAATTTGCAAAACGTTTCGATCGTTCTGTGAATAAAGAAACACTTTTTGCACTTTTATATACCTTAAAACTTTTAAGTGTAATGTCACACAGCAACAATGAAGGAACTGTAACGTGTTTCGATGGCTTCCACTTCGTGAAAAACTGAAACCTAACACTCAAGTATTTCAATTATAAAATCCGTTGTAAAATAATATTGTGAAACTGTTCTGAAAATTTTCAAGACTATAATACTTAATTGTATTTCCGCGTAATAATTTTTATGCCATTTGGATCGCTCCTCGAGTCTCTTTTGCGAACGAATTAAAGTCCAATGCCTTTGTCAGAATCGCGCTGGCGCAATTCGATTAATGTTAAATATGTTTTTTTTTTAATGAAAATATCATAGGCGTTTCATTTCGAAATGTTACAGAGTAATAAAAAATACAATGGTAATAAATACTGTATTACTAATTCCATACATGATTTGTATTGTTTTGAATTATTTCACAGTGTATATATGTGTATTGGTTCATAAATACATAAATATAATACATTGATATCCACAAATAAATTCGCATAAGTATTATGAATTAATAAAAAATAAACTCGTGTACTAAGAATTTTATTTCGATTCTTGAGATCTTATGATTCTTAGTATCGTGCTATTTGTGCTCGTACCTGTAAAAATATAGTAATTCCCTAAATGATAGAATGGCACCATCGTTTGTAAATCATGTATACGATGATGTATCTTTAATTGAAATCTCTGAAAGCAATCATAGCATCGTGATATGTATAATGCTTATATGTATAAATTATTCTAACAATTGAATTAACTTACTTCAGCGAGCATATATTCATAAACGTAAAACTGATCGTCTTCTGTCGTGACGATGATAAAGGAATCACTTTGACCGAAACCTGAAATAAGAATGACAAATGTTAAACACAATCTAATATTTATTTCATCACAATGCGAATTTGATGAATTGAGTGTAACATCAATGTATTATTATTCATACCATTTGCGTAGAAACTCTCTATGCCATTGATCCGCGAATCATGAAATAGACTTTGATAGTTGTAAAAATTATCAAATTTTGTATCGTAATAAAAGATATTTATCGCGTTCGTCTCGAAATCATCTAACAAAACGAAGCAGTCCTGTTCCTGGATGAGACTTTTTACATTACGCGTTTTACCTTCAAAGCTTCTTATTATTGTAAACTAAAAGATATCAAAAATATCAAATCATCGCCCCATCAAGTACTTTTACAAAATAATTAACAATGAAATCATCTCACCTTGGATGTAATAGAGTCCAATTTATACAGATACGACTTTTTAGAATTTCCGAAGCAACCGAACAGAAGATACACATTGCGACGATTTGCTTTGAAAATATCGATAGTCCAAGCTCCATCGGTGGATATGTTCTGATGCAATGATAAATTATTATTCTCAAAATCAATCTTGTAAATTACAGAATCTGTGTGATGCGTTGCGCGTAATATATCATAATACACTGCCAATACTATGAAAGCTGCATCTGAAATATATAAATGCATAATACTGTTAAAAGAAATTACGCGAACAATTCTGTTAGTTTAACATAAATTAAATGTCATACTATCATGTGTTGTGAAAAATTTTGCATCCTTTATGAAACCCTGAATTTCTAATGGTGTTTCCTTTACGCTGGCCAACGTTCCCACTGTATCGATCATTCCAGGTTTGGTCCAAGAAATTGTGATGAATTCGTTCTTGCTATTGTTTAAACTACATTCATGGCTATATGATATGGTATTCGATATTACATTTATACCAAACGTGCTGTGTAATTCGTGATAATTTCGTATTATTTTACTACCATTTATTTTTCGAATATGACAATCGTTCTCGGTAAATTCAGCCATATATTCGGTTGTACAGAAACAATTATTTGGAAGCCCGCAAAGAGATCCTGGTTCCTCTCCGAATATATTTAGCTTTGTGATTTGTTCATAATAAACAACATCAATCTTCTTAATGTTTGGTGTTCGAATTTTCAATTTTTCTTCTGTTTCCAAGTACGAGAAAATATTGCCGAGATTTTTAGAAATCGAGGCAGATTCACTGATACTCTTTTCAATCTTAGTTTCATTCCGGGCGAACGTGTATAGAGTTCGATTTATCTCTGTTTGCAAATCATAGGAAACGGTGGTTAAATTTATTCCATTCATTAAGTTAAAGACAAACACATTCTCTGGAACCTTGACTTCCGACTCGAAAATCTAGAAACACGGAATTTTTAAATGTATCGTATTACTTGCAGATTATTTTAATTAAGCCAATTTTACCAAGTCTCCGATGATTTCTACATCTTCGTCGTTTTGTATACCATTGCAGTATTCTAACGATACGTTTACATCATTAATGATTGGCCCGTAGATATTGTTATTTATTATAATGTTTTCTTCGAAGATTTTTGAACCGGTGATCACCTGTGTTTCTTTCCCATTGTTCAAAACCAGATCAGAAGGATAAATTCCATTAATTCTTGATAAGTTCGTACTTTCTAAGATTTATAAATCAACATTACTATTTATTCATGTATTTACACTTTTTGAAAAAAGTTATAATCTAAGAATTTAATTTACATAGGTATTGAATAATTCATGTAATTTATTTATATCGTGTATCCTTCTAGAGTTGAAATAATAAAAATATAGCTTTCTTTCGAAGCTTAATGAAAAGTTAAACACACTGATCGTTAATATGATCTATTATACTTATAATTACGTACCTAATCTATTATACTTATAATTACGTACCTATTATTTCAACAATGTCATTGAATTGTATATTAGCAAGTAGCTCGTGTTCTTTGTCGATGGTTACGCGATCTTTTAAAAATTCATCAAAATTTATTTCATCTAAAGTCTTTAAATATACATCCTCCAATATAACAAGGTCTTTGAAATATACGTGGTTGGGTAATTTATCAGTTGTCAGAACTACTCCTTTTAAAAGAACATCGTGAACCTTATCATCAACAAGAATTTGATCCATTGTTACATCATCGAGGAAAGTTATAATTCCAGTTATCGGTTCCTTTCGATTTTTCCACACTACTGAATTATTAAATTCGAGAATATTGATATTATTAATCATAGGAATATCAATATCATCAGTTACTGAAATAGCATCGACATGCAGATTCTCTTTAAAACTTTTTTGACCAATTATTTCAATGTCATTATCATCTATCACAGTATCTTCAATAATATTACGTATTTCATCAATTTCTTTACATTGTCCTGTGATTGTTGATACTGATACATTTCCCTGAAAAATTGTGCCATTTCGAATGATTTGATACGTAGATTTAGTTACTGCGTTTTCGAATAACAATGTCATAAAAGCAGAACTTGTCAAGGAAACGTCCCAAGAAATATTCCCGTCTACTTTTAAATTATTAATTTTCGGTATCGATATGTTAAGCATGTTCTCGTACAACTGAAATGAAATGTTTTTCAATAGAATAGTTAAAGACAAAAATAATATGAATTCACATCTTAAAGTTTACCTCGTTAACATTAAGTTTGTTCAAAGTTTTTGTTACGGTATTCCCTTCTACAAATAATTCATCAAATTCGATGTTCTTCGTTAGAAATAAAGGCTTATCAATCCATGCCAATTTGGAGACGTTCTGATGATTGATAAAGCTAGTTTTAATGTTATCAGTTGTAATTTTGTAAAAAGTGAATCTTCCAGATATATTTTGTTTTCTTGATTTGGAGAGGAAATTTTCGAAAAAATTGTTCATGTCATGATTGTGCAAAGATTTTAATGTGATATTCTGTGCAATTAATTCTTGGATGTTATTGTTATTATTATTAAACAGGACATTTCCTTTACCTATATTCTTTATATAAATCATAGATGGTTGATCATCAATTTGAATTACTTTTAAATCAATCTTAATTGTTAGATCACCATGTATTACCAAATTTTTTAAAGCAGATATTTTCATATTTTTTAATGATAAAAGTCTTTTTATTTCGAGATTGTTAATATTTTCAACGTTAAGATTTTCTACGTGAAACTCTGGAGTCTTCATAAACTTTGTTTTCTGACTTCTGCTATCATTTTTTGTACTCTGTAAGGAGAAAGGGAAAGTAAGTTCATCTATGTTTATTCGTTTAACTTTAATCGACAAGAAACTCATATTTTGTGGAAAAATGTATGGTTGCTTTCTGCTTAAAATATCAGCTACCGGGAGCCCATTAAAGGTATCAGTTAATAATTGGTTTCCGCATAATTGTTTTAGATGCAATCTCTCTCGAATAATTATGATGGATTCTGGAGCGATTTCGAAGAAATTATCGTTTTTTCCATCAATAAAAAGCATATCATCTACATGAACATTTTCAAAATGTAGCGTTCTAAAACTTTCTGGAATAATCTTTGCAGTAGTGTACAAAAATTCTTCTTCAGAAAATCCATTTAAATATTTCGCATTCAAGCGATCTATAATTAAATTGTTTTCAAAAATGACATTGTTTTCGATTATTTGATCGGTTGATTTTGTCCAAAAAGTATCGAAAATATTTTTCAGATTTATTTCTTCATCGTTTAGAAAAATTCTCGTGTATTTGTCCAGCTCTAAAGTTCCAATTTTCAAGTTACCGTGAATGGTGACATTGGAGTAAATTTGATTTGGTTTGCTTTCCAGTAAGTTAAAGCGTGGATTAACTACAAGTTCCTTTGTCACTTGTAATTTCGCAATTTTCGTTTTTCCTGTAGAACATCAGATCCTTTGTATGAATTTGAATAGAAAAGATTACAAAAATTTAATTAATTCTACTTTAATTACCTTTAATTACGTTATCGATAGATATTCTTGCTGCTTCTGAAACCGGAACACCGTTTATTGAATCGGTATATAAATTTCTCACCCGAAGCTTCCTCACGATAAAATTGTTAAATGTTTGATCGGTTCTTGCATTCATGTAATTATCCCATGGTTTCCCATTCAATACTTGTATCGTAAAATTCTGGATTTGCAATGTATTGTTGTAAGTGATCTTTCCTAAAAAATTTAGTTTATATTATAAATCGATGATTTAATTTTAGACGATTTATTTTGATTTAAAATCTACCTTTGATTCTTTGATTATAATTAATGATAAATAATTCCTTAAAAAGTTCATTGATATCTGTGCCATTTAAAATCTTTACATCTAAATGTTTCAATGATATACTTGAATTTAAATATATAGTATTATTTGAAAATTCAATCTCATCTCTCCTTAGATTTATCTTCATTTTCGATGTATCGTTAATTAGAGACCAGTCTAAGACAATGTTATTTTTGCGAAAATTAATTCTTATATTTTCAGAACATTATTATTATTAAATAAAATAGCATTCAACTTACATTGGTATGGAATTCCACAAATGGAACCTACTTTAAGATCATTTATAATAATATTTCTTTTCTTCAACGAAATAGGAAGTTCTTGCATTTCGTTCGGATTATGCATATAAATATCATTAAGAAAATCCACGATCATGTTATCAATCTGCAGCTGTTCAATAAATGCATCTCCATCGACAATAATATTCCCATTCAAAGAATTTGTGTTATTTAACATTAAATATTCGTTAGACGATAAAACATTATCAATTTCGTGGATTAAGTTTGCTATGCGTTGTTCTAACTTGCTAGGTGCAATTATATCTTCGTCTACAAAGATGTCGATGTTTTTCACAATTCCTGAATCTAATATTAAATTTGGCAAATCGAAAGATTCCGATATCGTTGAATTTTCATGCACCGGCCGCAAAAGGGGCCATAAAGTTCTAGTTTCTTCTACAAAATGTTTTCTTTGTTGCAATATTTCAACTAATTCTGCCAAGTGCTTCGATAAAATATCACTTGCCTTGTTTGAATATTCTGAAAGTATAATAACAGTAACTAAAATAAAAGATCATTTTGAATGGTTATCGTTTTAAGCAAAATAATTAACCAGAAGGAATTTCTTTAATGGATAACTCCAACAATTCGACTCTATAAGTTAGATTTGAGTTTATGACACTCAACATCATAGTTATCGTAGACTTGTCGATTCGAGTTTGTACGTCAATTATGGTTCCAGCAGGTAGTTTCGCAGTATTCATTAAGATACAATCCGATGCATTTTCAAACTTGTACAGTTGTAAGATATTCTGTGACACGATTAGTATTTACGTAAAATTTCGTAATCGCTAATTATTTATGAAATTCTGTGCTTACATCATGTATTACAAAGAAAAAGGTGTCATCGTTGATGTTTATTATGTGGACTAAACTGGGTGCTCTTATTTTTGAAATCTGTTGCCAGGTTAATAGTTCGTGTCCTAAAAGAATGATTCCTCCATAGATGGAAAATAACTATATAGAGATGAGTGAAAAGTAAAGACCAACCATCCCACCAATGCAAACTGCTCGGTGTATTTTTGTTTACTAGCAAAATAAAATTAAATCCCATGTGTCTGTAATGATGAACAGAAAACGGATCGGACGTTTCCAGAAATTGTATAGTATCCACGCTGGTTTCCTTAAATTCATATACCATGGAACCGATTCCAGGTACATCTTCATTGGACTGTGCGAATACTATAATCGTCGATTGCTTGTGTTTAAATGTAGTAACTGATATTGCGGCAATAGTCATCACTTCCTCTATTTTATCCATATACGTTCCTCTCCAATGATATATTCTATGTAGAAGATATATATATATATATATATATATATATATATATATA